ACCCAATCAGTTCCCTCTATATCACAAAAAGCCCTAAACCCATTTACTTCCCAAATCCCTAACCCAATCAGTTCCCTCCGACAAAAATGTGAAAGAGAAAAACCACAAATGCTGCCGTTCAAAGATTTCTCATTCTAGGTATTGATCTTTACACACAATTTTGAAAATAAAGTGAGGATGACATACCCTGACTGAGTTCGAGTCTGAGGAGGAGATGAAGGACACTGCCGGCAGAGCTCCAAACACAGATGAAGGACTTTTGTTTCCCCGTCTGTTTCCTCTCTGGTGAAGGCGATAAATGGCCTTACTTTGATAGTATCGGCGAAATTGGTACCGAATGTGGAACTTCCTTCGATTGTTCACAATCACTTGAGCACTTGAAGCATTTCTCATCAACTTCAGAAGAGGAGTCCGCCGTGGGTTGGGCTGCTTATGCAGAGAGGAGGCTGCCGTGGGTTGTGCTGCTTATGCAAAGAGGAGTCCACATGCGAAAAATTGGAAACCGAAAGAAAAGAGAGGACAAAAATTAGAAAAGTTGTGCTCTGCAAACTCACGCGAGAAGCAACACAGAGAAAGCTGGAGAGATTCTCTGGCCAAGAGTAAATGCTTAGTAGGAGTGGATGGGTCAAAAGTGGGTGGGGGTCATTACTCGAGGAGAGACTGTGCACATGAGTTGGAACGGGCTGAATCAGGCCCCTACCTGATTTTGAAATCAGACCCAAAAATGATCCGAACAGTACAATTTGATTCTGGATCAGTTCCGTGATTTTGGGCCTCCAAATGCAGATTCTCCCACGTGACCCAGAGTCAGGATTCAGAATACAGCTTCCAAACGGTACCTAAGAGAGATATGATTTGGGTTATGGTGAATATTGTTTAGATTGTTTGGTATGATATTGATTTGGGTAATTTAAATTGGTTATGAATTGGGTAATGTGATTGTTTATGTTTTGGATTGTGTAGTTGAATTTTAGGCACTGTTTATTTTGCCGATTTGAGTTTTACTATAGTAAAAAGTTTTTAGAAACAGTCACATTTAACTTTTTTACTACAGTAAAAAATTCTTACATAAAATTACATTTCAACTCGAATCAGCGAACTAAATAATACCAAAATTGTTTGTGAAATTAATTTGGCTAATGTGTGAATGGAATGAGATCGTGAGAACAATCCCCAAGCGCCAACTCATCAAGAAGACCCGTTAGATTCAGCGCATTTCCCGCGCCTCTATATGCACCCACGATGGACCTAGGACAAACTAGCCTCAGTCTAGTGTTTTAGAACATCTCACACACATGCAACTGTGATGGCCAATCAGTGTGTGCGTCTTCTATACGCATGCAGCTTCCCGGCGTCACTCCTTAATCTAGAAGGGCGTTCAAAAAACATGTCAATCACCCAAACTGCCCAATCTAAATTTAACCAAATTAAATTATTAATTATTTTTTAATTATTGACTAGCTTGGTCTGTTTTTTAATCTAATTTTTTTAGACTATTTGATTTGTGATTTCGACTTCTCAAATTGCCCAATAATCCACTCAAAAATACACATTTTTTATTTCTGATATATTATTTATTTATTGTAATTTTTATTGGTGGTAATAAAAATTCTACACTTATAAAATACACCCATCACATTTTGGTTAGTTTGTATTAAAACTTTCACTGAATGTTTGGTAACTTGTATTGTATTGTGTTGTATTGTCATAATATAATACAGTGTGGCACTATGACGTATTGTACAAGGGGTCTAAATGTAAAATTTTTAAAATTTTAGGGTCAAATAATGTAATTTTTTAAAAAAATTTAAGGTCAAAATATAATTTTTTAAAGTTTTGGGATCAAAATATAATCTTTCAAAAGTTTTAGGGTCAAAATGTAATTTTATAAAAATTTTGAATTAATATACATCTAGAGATATATAATGACCGAAGTAGACAAAATTTAATATACATTTATAGTTAGCTTTATTTATATTCTTATGGTCAATATTCAAAATATAAAAAAAAAATTAATTTTAATTTTATTAATTAAAATATTTCTTAAAAAAATTGTTTTTATTGACAGCAAAAAATTATTCATCTACTAACAAATTTCTTATTTATTGTTGTTATTTTAAACATTTTAATAATTACTAAAAGTATTTAAATAAAGTTTAGTATAGTATACTTGTTAAAAATTTTCAAGTTTTAAATAACTATTTTAAAATGTTTTTTAATTTGGTATGAAAAAAGTAAAATAGGTAGATTGAAAATTAAGTTTTATCGTTAAGGTTATTTTTATAAATTTAAACAATGACAGCAAAAGCTGCTATGAAAAAACAATAGATGACCTACTTCTCAAATTCTGTTATTTGACATTAATTTTTAAAAGTTGCTGGACAAAAGTAAGATTTACCAAACATCCTAACCTATTGTAGCTTTTTTAAAAACGCTAAAAAATCCTCTAAAACCATTGCTAAACGGGCCTCAATAATAGAACATAAACCGTATTAATTTACCATGCATATTAACTTATACAATACAATAGTGATCACACAAAATATTATATTATTGTAGTAATATACAATACGACACTCTAATACGATCAAACAAATATGCCCTAAATGGTAAACTTTTAGATATTTGCTAATTTGAAATATACTTTAAACTTTAATCTTATCTTTATTTTTAATAGATTAACGGTCTATAAATTTTGTGAATTATTAAAAAAAATGATTAGAGCTAAGCTCAAACTTCCCAAACTAAACCACTTAAACAGCTTATCAGTAATTTGATCTAATTTAATTTTTGTTAAAAATATCGAATCACTGGGGATGTTTGGTTGGAGGATTCAAACCATGATTTGAATCATGGTTCATGGTTCGTTACAGTGTTTTCTCTCACAAAAAATACACGTAAATCAAAAATAATTCCAATCACATGATTCTAATCCATGAATCAAACGTCTCATAAAAAAGATTATTTTTTAATTTGGTCGATGGTTTTTTAAAAAATAAAAAAAATCACCGAAACCGTCAACGAACACCCCTATCCAACAGCGTGGGCACTCGCAGCAACATGCTCAATCGATGCCCTTCTTGCACCACGTGTCCCTACTTGTCCCCCACGTTTCCAACACTAGCAACCACGCCTCTCTCTATATGCCAGATGATTAGTGCATAAAAATGCACCATAAATACTACTTTTGATTTATATAATATTAAAATATTTAAGCTTTAATTAAGCAATTTCATTATTTTTATTCATAATATTTTAATTAAAATTTGTCTAGTTTTTGCTTAATTATTTACAGATAAAAAGTAGTATAAAAAGCTACACAGAAATAAGCCATGAAAGCCATGTTTTCAACCACCCGGAGCCAAGCCTCAGCCGAGCCGCACAAGCCAATCAGAGAGAGAGAGAGAGAGAGCCGAGCAGCTTAGCCGATCCAACATCAGTCCGCGTGGGCCTCAACACTTCCAGCGTTTCCTCACTCTTCCTCACGCGCGTCACCAGCAGGTCCATCTTCAGCGCGCACGTTCCTTCCACGCAGCTTCAGCGCGCGTCCAACTCCTCCGTAGTATGGGTCCCGCATCTGCAGCCATCAGCCGGCCTTCCTTTCCACGTGTGACAGCTGTCTCAGTGGACCCCAGCTCTCCTGCTCCGCCAGCACTTTTCCTCTTCTCCGTGGCGACACGTGGAAATTGAGTCCACTTCCTCCAATCTCATTGCGACACGTGTCTAGAGGGGCTGGATCCGAATTTCTCCTTCAAAAATCAGACCAAATGGCCGGATTTCTTCCCCAAATTAAATATATGATTTCTCTTAATTTATGTGTAATTTTATTTTCTTTTCTTTTCTTTTGTAATTTTCTAGTTTTACAATTTATTTCCTTATTTGACAGGCATCCTCTGAATACTATAAATATAGGAGTTGGCCTAAGGTTTGAAGAAGCTTTGAATATTCAGTTTTCTGTCGTCTTGCTGTCAGTCTCATGTTTTCTCTCTAGAACTTGTGAGAATGTTTTGCAAGATAGGCTAGAGTTCTCTTGGTGAGGTTAGAGATGAACTTCTATTGAGCAATCCAATTCAGAGTTTTGATTCCTTGTGTTGTAAAGTTTAATATCTTAATGAATTAAATCTCATCTATTTTTCTATTACTTTTCAAAATATTGTGTGCCAATTTTTATATAAGTTCAGTCACGCTTTTCTTATGTAATTATGTCACGCATTGTTTTGTTATTTAAATTATTTTATAAATTGTCTTTTACTCTAATATTGTCAAATTGATATATTGTCGATTTTGGATAACTTGTAATAATAATATTTCAGAGTCAACATAGAGATTTAATTTATTCGATTCCTTTATTTTGTGAATCAAAACTTGAATTGGTGAACGAAACATTAGGGATTCTCGACACCTTACCGTTTTTACTACTGAATTTTCTTCATACAGATTTTCTCCATTTTATTTTATTTGCAACAAAACTCTCAAAAACTCTCATTTTTCTTTAATTCACTTTTCTCTAACGCTCTTATTCTGTTAGTCATTCTTGTTATTTTGTTATCTCTCTGTGCATACGACCGCCTTTCTGTGCTACAATTGACCGCTTGTGAACATCACTTTTGGGCGTTAATCACCAGATGTGTCACACCAGTTGTGAAGTCTAATCAGTAGATGCCACATGGCAGGTTGCATGCAGAATTTCACATGGCAGGTTCATGATTGTTTCGGGCAGTTTTTTTCTTGAAAATCACCAACTCAACAAAAAATAATTTTTTTCATTTACCGGTTTGATATTTTTTTGACAAAAATTAAAGGCCGTTCGGTTCACTAATTCGAGTTTTTAATTCGAGTTGAGATATGATGTTGTATGAGAGCTTTTTACTGTAGCAAAAAAGTTAAATATGACTGTTTCTGAGAGCTTTTTACTGTAGCAAAACTTAAATTCTAAACTCGAATCAGCGAAAAGAACGAGGCCTAAATCAAACCAAATTATTAATAAGCAGTTTAGACGGTTTAATTTAGACAGTTTGAATTTAACACTAAAAAAGTTTTAAATAATTTTCAAAAATTATTAAAACCATTTATCCATAAAAATAAAAATAAGGTTCAAATTTACAATATAATTTAAAGAATTGTAAATGTTTAAAAAGTTCACCATTCAAATTTTTAATACAAACTAATAAAATGTGGTAGAGTGTATTTTATAATTGTAGAATCTCTATTATGACCAATAAAAGTTAAAATAAAGAAATAAATATTTAAGAAATAAATATGTGTATTATTTGGTAAATTATTAGGCGGTTTGATGTGTCCAAATCATTACCCAGGATGCCTCAAAAAAATTAGACTAAAAAATGACCAAACCTTCTATAATCCTTAAAAATTTACTGATTTAGTTTAATTTGATTTGCATTAAGCGGTTTGGCAATTTTTTCAACACTCCTACGTTCCCGTTTGCTCCCCAAGCAGAATCAATCAGCCAAATATCTCTCTGTCAAATATTTGACTTCTCCAAATTGATTTGCAATTTTATTTTGTTTCGATTCTTTTTTTAATTTTCCGTTTTTATTAGTTTGTTTCCTTAAATCACTTACACGCCTAAACACTATAA